GCTCTGAGCTGGGGCAGGGGGGACAAGGAGAAAGAAAGGGCACCTTCTCTTTTCCTCCTCCAGCTGTGACCGTAGCTTCTCTTCGTGCAGGTCTGGCACCGCGGGCGCGGGCATGTTCTCTGTGACACCTGGAGAAGGGAGAGCGATGCTCATGTTTACCTCAACGAGGAAGGAAGTCAAAGGGTAAGGGCGCACCCCAAGATGCAAGGGGACTCTGGGAGCTCCTCTGGGGCCTTTGGATGGGACCTGGCTGCCCCCACCCCCTGGCTGGTGACCTCTGCTCCGATGGAGGCCCCCGGAGGCTCCTGTGAGTCCGCTCAGCCAGCCGTCCATCCACTGCCCAACATCTGTCACGGGAGGAGAATTCTTCCTTACGTCCCACTAGTCCTTTTGCTGTTAGGTTCACACATTTCCTCTAGAATCCCCAGGGAGGATGCAAAATAGCGTTGCTCATCCTCGGATACAGAGCCCTGTGCAAACCAGGAAGACACCACTAAACCGGTCCACGTCTTTCCTGTGCCCGCCGAGGGGCCCAGTTCTCTAGCCTCCTGGTTTTGACTTCCCTCTAAAGCAGTGGTTCCCAAGCCTGATTAACCCAGGCAGTGCACCCAGAGCTGAGACCCACTCTCAGATGCCCTGCCCATGACAGGGGCGTGGCCAGGCCGCGGGGAGGGCTGTGTCCCCCACTGGGGATCAAGCCCGCACCCTGGGCATGTGCCCTGATCGGGAATCGAACCGCGACCTCCTGATTCCTAGGTCGATGCTTAACCACTGAGCCATGCTCACTGGTCAGCTCGGTTTCCTCTTACTTGAGCTGAGAGCTACCACACTGACTTCTTTCACCTCTACTTTGGATCTTTGCAAGAGCATAACATGTCCTCCTTCTAATTTGCTGGTTCTTTAAATATCTTAACAATAACAACAACAAAATACCATGTGTGTTTGAAAATTTATTCTCAGGCTGACTCTTCCCTCATCGAGGACTCACTGACAGTTGCTTTCTAACCGATCTTAAGGCAGGGCTCCCGGCTGCACAGGGATGTCTCAGCCAGTCCCCCTGCCCCCTGAGGCAGTCTCTAGGGGCCTCGTGAAAAGCAGAGGGCGGGGAGGCTGAGCCAGGCAGGCTGCCCAGTGTGCGTGCAGGGCCCTGGGCAGGAGTGGGGCTCCCGCTTCCCCCGTGGCTGTCTGCCTTCTCCTGGGGCACCGTGCGGGTCTCCCTGGCAGATGGGAGTTACAGGTGCCCTGGAAGCCCGAGGGTGTCCGGGAGCCCAGGGCAAGGAGAGCATCCGGAACGCAGCTGAACGAGAAAGGAGACAATGTCAGCCACCCCGTGTGGGGCATGCCTTGGCCCCACTCACTGTGCCACCTCACTCATTCTCATCACTCCAGCGGGCAGGTCTCATCCCCTCCGTTTTCCAGACAAGGAGACCGAGGCTCAGGCTGACAGGTGGCTTGCTCAATGCCATCAAGCTGCCATGCAGCAGAGCCAGGCCCTGACTCCAGGACTAGTCACTCACTCACTCCCGTCACAAACGTTGATGCGTGTGGACACGGGCCCGCTCCTGTGCCAGGGCCGTCTCCTGGGAAGGCAGACATTAGACCCCCAGAAACCGCGTCTCTGTGGAACGCCAGGGGCTGAGAGCTGCCGCAGGGAGAGAGAAAGCTGGACACGGGCTGGAGGGCAGCCACGTGAGGCGGGAGGTCAGGGGCCTCTCTGAGGAGGGGCATTTGAGCAGGGACCTGCATGAAGAGAGAGAAGGGCGTGCAGAATTCAGAGGAGAGGGAAAGGAGCGAGTGCAAAGAGCCTGAGGTGTGTCTGCTGGTGCATCTGGAGACCGGTGGGAAGGCCAGCATGTTTGGAGTGTACCCCCTCCTATCTGCCATGATTTTGGGGCTCCAGAGAGATCCCTAAAGCTCCTCTTCCCATTCCCCGTTCTCTGCCCCCCCACACACTGCACGTGCACACACAGGGAGAGGGAGAGCGGTGGGAGTGGAGGCCAGTGAGGGGGCCCAGTCACAAAGCACCTTGTAGGTCACGGGAAGGACGTCGGCTCTGAGAGAGGCCAGAGGCTGGAGGGTTTTGAGTAGAGGAATAGCTTGATCTAGCCCTTTGATATCTAAGCCAAGCGGTTTCTTTGCTGAGCAAGACAAAGCTGCTCCAAAGTGAAGAATCGTTAATGTGAGGTGGCGCCAGGATGCCGAGGGCTGTTGAAAGGATCTGGGAGAGAGCGCTGGGGCATGGGACCTTGGGCAGCCAGAAAGAGGGCACGGTATACCCCCAAGACACAAGCTATCTGCGTTGTCATGACAACCAAAGGGGCCTCTTGCCAAAGGTGATGTTTGCTTAGTGAAATGCTTTGTAACCCACCAGGAGACAGCCCCTGGCTGCGCCTGCTGCTTCCTGAGCTTGGCTCACCGTCCTTTCTGCAGACAAACAGGGGCTGGGAACTCAAAGGAAGTGAACAAAAGCGCTGAGCAGCGGAGGGGGAGTCACCAAGGGCATTGGGCTTTGTGTGTCTCCATGACCACTGGGACTGTGGCCAGGGACAGGCCCTCCAGTCACCTGACAGGAGGCACAGGGAGCCCTCCTCTCAGGCACGGTGTCCGGCTGGGACAGGGACACGGGCCCGCTCCTGTGCCAGGGCCGTCTCCTGGGAAGGCAGACATTAGACCCCCAGAAACCGCGTCTCTGTGGGACGCCAGGGGCTGAGAGCTGCCGCAGGGGGAGAGAAAGCTGGAGGGCAGCCACGTGAGGTGGGAGGCAGGGGCCTCTCTGAGGAGGGGCATTTGAGCAGGGACCTGCATGAAGAGAGAGAAGGGCGTGCAGAATTCAGAGGAGAGGGAAAGGAGCGAGTGCAAAGAGCCTGAGGTGTGTCTGCTGGTGCATCTGGAGACCGGTGGGAAGGCCAGCATGTTTGGAGTGTACCCCCTCCTATCTGCCATGATTTTGGGGCTCCAGGGAGATCCCCAAAGCTCCTCTTCCCATTCCCCGTTCTCTGCCCCCCCACACACTGCACGTGCACACACAGGGAGAGGGAGAGCGGTGGGAGTGGAGGCCAGTGAGGGGGCCCAGTCACAAAGCACCTTGTAGGTCACGGGAAGGACGTCGGCTCTGAGAGAGGCCAGAGGCTGGAGGGTTTTGAGTAGAGGAATAGCTTGATCTAGCCCTTTGATATCTAAGCCAAGCGGTTTCTTTGCTGAGCAAGACAAAGCTGCTCCAAAGTGAAGAATCGTTAATGTGAGGTGGCGCCAGGATGCCGAGGGCTGTTGAAAGGATCTGGGAGAGAGCGCTGGGGCATGGGACCCTGGGCAGCCAGAAAGAGGGCACGGTATACCCCCAAGACACAAGCTATCTGCGTTGTCATGACAACCAAAGGGGCCTCTTGCCAAAGGTGATGTTTGCTTAGTGAAATGCTTTGTAACCCACCAGGAGACAGCCCCTGGCTGCGCCTGCTGCTTCCTGAGCTTGGCTCACCATCCTTTCTGCAGACAAACAGGGGCTGGGAACTCAAAGGAAGTGAACAAAAGCGCTGAGCAGCAGAGGGGGAGTCACCAAGGGCATTGGGCTTTGTGTGTCTCCATGCCCACTGGGACTGTGGCCAGGGACAGGCCCTCCAGTCACCTGACAGGAGGCACAGGGAGCCCTCCTCTCAGGCACCGGGTCCGGCTGGGACAGAGCATGGGAGGTCACAGCCCCAAGTGGCTTTTGGGTCACACTGTGAATCTGTAGGGCAGCCGGCTCCAAAGCAACACAGAAGCGAGGTGGGAGGGTTTTATGCCAGCGGCCGTGGATCTGAATGCCACACACGGAGGAAGCCCTGAGCTGTCAAACAGTGACTGAAACTTCAAACAGGGCCCACACGGTCCCTGCTCTGAAGTGTCAGGTCTTTGGGAACTAGCAGCACAAGGAGAACAGGGGCCCTTGCTGGGAAGGCCAGACTTTTGTGTGCCCCTCCTCCCTGGCATGATTGCACTCAAACTCCTCTACACACACACACACACACACACACACACACACTCACACACACACACACACACACACTCA